TCTGTAAATACTTGGGATAAACCCAGAGCGTGCAGTATAAAAGGGCTATTTTTAGCCTCGGAAAATCAACAAATTAGTTCACTGAAACTGCTACAGAGGATGGCTGAGGTTTTCTCAGCACTTGATTAACATTAGGTCCTACTTTTTAATTTTTACTTGTTTTTTATAAGCCATTCCTTCTTCCAAGTTCCCATTGATCTTGGGGGTTGATAATGGAAATCGTTTTTGGAGTTCTGGGCCTTGGAAGGTAGACCAGCTGCCAAGTGAATTAGAAAGGTACTTAGCTGCAAAGCTGGTCAGCGGGAAGTGCAGAATGTAGAGTCATACAAATCTGAGTTCAGGTCCTGGTTCTGCCATTTTTCATCTGTGTGACTATCAGAAAAGTCTTATAACTTCTCAACTTGTCATTTTGTCAGCTGTGAAACAGGAATAAGCCGGGTGTGGTGGCTGACACCTGTAATCCCAGCTCTTTGGGAGGCTGTGTCAGGGAGATGACTTGAGGCCAGGAGTTCCTGACAAGCCTGGCTAACATAGCAAAACCCCATCTCTGCTAAAAATACAAAAAAATTAGCTGGGTGTGGTGGCACATGCCTGTAGTCCCAGCTACCCAGGAGGCTGAGGCAGAATTGCCCATACCCGAATGACAGAGGTTGCAGTGAGCCAAAATTGCACGCCTGCATTCCATCCTGGATGACAGAATGAGACCCTGTCTCAATCAATCAATCAGTCAATCAATAAAACAGGAATAATAATACTTTTACCGGCCTTCAGGGGTTATAGAAATCTGTAACGGTAAGCAAAATACCTGAATTCAGTGTGCAAATTAAGGAAGAGGGCAAAGTGTTCGTACTCTCCAGGACTGGCTCTGTTTCCTTCTTACCCTTCTTGTTCCTAGGTGAACTGGCCTGCCCACTCATATCTCACTATCTGTGTGTGTTCTTTGCATTCAGGCAGTGCTAACTTCAGGACTAATGCTTATAGGCAGGACCCGGTGCTCACTTAGTTTCTTAGGACACACTGCTAGCCAGACTCTTTTTTATTATTATTATTTTTAAAAGAGATTTGCTATATTAATGCTAAGTTTTTAATCTCTGAGCAAGGTGAATTACTAATCAAAATGAAATAAATGGCCCGGTTGCAGTGGCTCACGCCTGTAATCCCAGCACTTTGGGAGGCCGAGGTGGGTGGATCACAAGGTCAAGAGATGGAGACCATCCTGGCCAACATGGTAAAACCCTGTCTCCACTTAAAAAAAAAATTAGCTGGCCGGGCGCGGTGGCTCACGCCTGTAATCCCAGCACTTTGGGAGGCCGAGGCGGGTGGATCACGAGGTCAAGAGATCAAGACCATCCTGGTCAACATGGTGAAACCCCGTCTCTACTAAAAATACAAAAAATTAGCTGGGTATGGTGGCACGTGCCTGTAATCCCAGCTACTCAGGAGGCTGAGGCAGGAGAATTGCCTGAACCCAGGAGGCGGAGGTTGCGGTGAGCCTAGATCACGCCATTGCACTCCAGCCTGGGTAACATGAGTGAAACTCCGCCTCAAAAAAAAAAAAAAAAAAAAAATTAGCTGGGCATGGTGGCATGCACCTGTAGTCCCAGCTACTTGGGAGGCTGAGGCAGGTGGAGGTTGCAGTTAGCCGAGATAGTGCCACCACCCCACTTCAGCCTGGCGACAGAGCAAGACTCTGTCTCAAAAAAAAAAAAAAACCCAGAATAAATGACCTGTTGTAGTGTGTTCTGTGCCAGTCAATGTCTCAACATTAGAGTTACTTTTGGAAGTGTTTCTGTGTCCAAGATCCAGCTGTTGGGGTCTGACTGGTAGTTTTTCCTTTGTGACACAGAGGTGCTTTGGCCAGAAAGGGTAAACCAAGAAGACTTCACAAGGGCATTTTCTTGATGGGGTTCCTCAGCTGCCCTCAGAGACAGAGCAGTCCAGAAGTGGGTGAGACAAGGAAAGAGGAAGAGACATCAGTCTTTTCTACATTCCTTTCTTGCACCTAGTATCGTGTGTTGCTCTATCCCTGGGACTCCTGCCTTGCATATCTTAACTGCTTTTTCCGTCGTTTTCTCGCTTCTAGCTTTTCTTCCTCTTGCCACTCGCCGCCTTCTGCATGATCCCCTGCATCATCTGATCCATTCATGTGACATTAACTGCCGCCTACATGCTGACCATTCTTTTTTTTTTTTTGTATTGATGAGGTCTCACTATGTTGCACAGGTTGGTCTCCAACTCCTGAGCTCACACAATCTTCCTGCCTCCTGGAGTGCAGTGATTACAGTTGTGAGCCTCTGCGCCTGGCCGGGCTGACCATTCTTAAACCTCTCTGTCTAGTCTGGAGTATCTGCAGAGCTCTCAGTCCATGTCCCACTGTTCTAGATCGCCAGACTCAGTGTCCCACAGGTACCTCAGACTCACTTACTGGGCCTAGCTGACCTGAGCCATCCCTTCCTCTCTGCACTGGACCTGCTTCCTCTCCAGCACTTGCTCTCACCCGTCACATTCAGTTGCTCAGGACTGAACTCTGGAAATCATCTTGACTCCTTTTGCTCACTTATTCTCCGAATGTAACCACCAAATTCTGATGCGTTTACCTCCTTGGTGTCTCTCAAACCCAACTCTTCTCCATGCCTGTGACTGCTGTCCTTACACGGGCCCTGGCTCACTCTCTCCTCTCGCCTCTGCTGACCAGCTGTTCTCCCTGCCTCCAGTCTTCCTTCCCCAAGGCACTCCCAGATTTTCCCTGCAATAACATGTAACCATATCACTGCCCTGATCAAAACCTTCAGTGGCTTCCCAGGGCTTCAGCTTCTCAGCAAGGCATTCCCAAGCCTTCCAGCCTTATTTCCCTTCCTTCCTATTACCTCGAGGTGTGTACCATGACAGTTCGTATCTTTGCTTTGAGACAGATCTTTTCCTCTGCCTAAAATATCCTTTCCCACCTTCTTCAACTTTATACTTCTTCCAAGACAGCCTGGACGACCTCTCTAGGACGCTTTCCTTGGAAGGGTATTTCCATAGCACTCTGCCCAAATTGCTATCATTGTACTTCCATTATAATACATGTGTCTGTTTTTTTTTTTTTGTTTTTTTTTTTTTTTTTTTTTTGAGACGGAGTCTCGCTCTTGTTACCCAGGCTGGAGTGCAATGGCGCGATCTCGGCTCACCGCAACCTCTGCCTCCTGGGTTCAGGCAATTCTCCTGCCTCAGCCTCCTGAGTAGCTGGGATTACAGGCACGCACCACCATGCCCAGCTCATTTTTTGTATTTTTAGTAGAGACGGGGTTTCACCATGTTGACCAGGATGGTCTCGATCTCTTGACCTCGTGATCCACCTGCCTCCGCCTCCCAAAGTGCTGGGATTACAGGCTTGAGCCACCGCGCCCGGCTACATGTGTCTGTTAATGCTTCTGTTTTCCCACAAAAGCACACAAGGTTCTTCGAGGGCAGGGATGGTGTCTCATTTGCCTCTTATTCCCAGAGGGAAAAGAGTCAGCCCAGTCTGGACACATGGTGGGCCCTACCTGAACAGAGATACCTGCTGGTGTACTGCCTCCACCCTCCTCCAGCACCTGTTGCCTGTAGGGTAGTCCAGAATCCTTAGCTGGGTTTTAAGCAAACATGGTATGCCAAAAAAAAACAAAAAAAAAAACACCTTATTTGAATTTTTTTTAATATTTAGCTGGTCCATTGACTCCCCAAACTCTCAGGGAGTTTCTGAATCTTTCTGGGCCAATTTCTTCATCTGTGAAAGAGGAATGTTACCGTTCAAGATTGTTATAAAGTGTGATTGAAATAATATGTATAACACATCTGGCATGTAATAGGTGCTACATAAATTTCCTCATCTCTTACTGTTTTTCTCCCTTTCTCCTGCACTGTTCTGAGCAGCCTCCATCCACAACACACACACACACACACACACACACTCTCTCTCTCTCTCTCTCTCTTTCTCTTTCTCTCTCTCTCTCTCTCTCTCTCTCTGGCATCACAGAAGCGCCGTCGTTGATGAATATTTCCCTCCATTTTCCATTCCTCCACTAAGGGGTGCCTTTTTTACATTCACTTACCTCTCTACTCTGTTCAGATCCTGCCTGGACTAAAGGCTTGCCCAGATCCTACAGTTAAAAGGAATTTCTTCTCATTCCTTTCCTGGTCTATTTCCCTATTGCACGTACTATTTCTAACTTAGTAGTCAGCTGTCTTATTTTAATCACGAAGATAGTTAACTGGGTAGGAAACTTCTAGGGGAAAAGGATGTTTCTTCTGTATTTTTGTAGCTCACTGTGGTTCTGAGCACTCTGGGCCTGGAACATGTAAGGCGTTAACGATTGTTCACTTTTAGCCAGGGGAGTTGGGATGATAGGAAAATGCTTCTCAACCTGGCTAAACAGTGTCCTCAGATTCTTAAAGGAATCAGACTCTTTTGGAACTCTGAATTTTAACTTACTTGTCCTTAAGATTTTGTCTTATTTGCAAGCAAATAAGCTACCGGAAATTAGACACAATTCTAGAAAATCTATTATTTCAAACACAATGAAAAATCAGTCTTGGAATTATTTTATAATGTGAGGAAGGTAAAGAAAATTGCTTGCCCCAAACATGAAAGTGATATATGTTTCTATTTATGTTCTCAAAGGGATATTCCAAAAGGAGTTGGTTCTACGGAAATCCTTGAAGTAGACTGTGTTTTGGGAAAATCATCTCATTTCGACCTGCTCAGATTCGGCTGTCACAGTCTTCCTTACAGCCCCCTGAAAGCAAATGGTAAAATCTTGTTAGAACAACTACCACAACAAAGAGGGAGTCCTTATAAAACAACGATTTCCAGTCTTACTGATTGATGTATTAAGCCAGCCGTTAGCAGGAAACAGTGTAATTTGTGTTACAGGTAGTTAGGGATGTTTTATAGATCTGCTCACACATACCTCTTCTAGCCATTAAGTAGTAACTTCCCTTGGACTCTGCTCATCCCTTTTTTTTCTTCATATCTTTAGATGTAAAGCTTCCTAGATGGAGAATAGAACTATTCCACTTCTGGCTTCTACTTGGAGTAAGTAGCCATGTCCAGCAGTGAGTTCATGCTGTAGGGATTCATTAGTACCCATCTCTTCAGTGTTCAGAGTTGCAAACTTGCCACTGCATGCCCTCACGCATGTATAGCTCTTAAATCACATTTCCTCACCCTCTATTTGGACTGTTGTATTTTTAGGGTCCAAATTTAGTAACTTACATGTTACATAATTAATGTGTAGATTTTCATCTTATTAGATATATCTGTCATATGAACCTACTGATGTTGGGGAGGGGGTGTCTTGATTCTCACTCAACATATCTTACCTGCCAGCTTGATATTAATAATAGCAGCTAACTTTCATGTAGCCCTTACCATGCGCCAGGCATTGTTCTAAGCACACATATTAACTCATTCAGTTGGCACAGCCATGAGGTATAGGTACTGTTAGCTCCAATTTATGGTTTACAGATGTGTGATCAATATACAGTTTATGGGGTGCTTTTTCAACTTTAAACCCAAGTGAAACCTGGGTTATGGATCATAAATACCTTTAGAAACCACGTGGGGGAAATGGTGGAATACGCTACTGTATGTCGTGTGCATGTATGTGCATTTGCTTAAAGAATGTGTGGGTGTGGGGTCCCTGTGGCAGTCACTTCATTGCCTGCCTAACTACTTTTTTTTTTTTTTTTTTGAGACGGAGTCTTGCTCCATCACCCAGGCTGGAGTGCAGTGGCCAGATCTCTACTTACTACAACCTACACCTCCGGGTTCAAGCGATTCTCCTGCCTCAGCCCCCTGAGGAGCTGGGACTAGAGGCGTGTGCCACCATGCCTGGCTGATTTTTCTATGTTAAGTAGAGACGGGGTTTCACCATGTTGGCCAGGCCGGTCTCTGACTCCTGACCTGAAGTGATCCACTTGCCTTAGCCCCCAAAGTGCTGGGATTACAGGCGTGAGCCACCGTGCCTGACCCCGACTATTCTTTCAACAACCAATGTTCCTTTATTACAGAGCCTCAGTTTTTTTCTTTTCAGATGTGGAGTAGAAATCTTCTGATCCCTTGAGGAGCGGGAAAGAGTCTACGTTAGCTTTAGGGGTGAATCCTGATTGGTTAAACAACCAGTGGATCTGCAGAGTGGGGGAGAATGTGACCCAATTCTGGCCAGTGAAATGTAAAGGGAAATGTGCTATTAGAGAGGCTTCTCTTCCCTAATAAAAACATAGAACTTCAGGATACAGCCCTCTTTGCCTGCCTGAAAACCTGTGTGATGGCCAGGGTGGCGGCTGCCACCTAAAGAATAGGGTAAGAGCCAGGCGCGGTGGCTCAAGCCTGTAATCCCAGCACTTTGGGAGGCCGAGGCGGGTGGATCACGAGGTCAAGAGATCGAGACCATCCTGGTCAACATGGTGAAACCCCGTCTCTACTAAAAATACAAAAAATTAGCTGGGCATGGTGGCGCGTGCCTGTAATCTCAGCGACTCAGGAGGCTGAGGCAGGAGAATTGCCTGAACCCAGAAGGCAGAGGTTGCGGTGAGCCGAGATGGCGCAATTGCACTCCAGCCTGGGTAACAAGAGCGAAACTCCGTCCCAAAAAAAAAAAAAAAAAAAGAATAGGGTAAGAGAATTACAGTCATTGGTCAGGCACTATCAAGCATGAACTTACTACCACTGGGCTGCACGTGTGAGCCACTATACAGGGATGCTGGTAACTCAAAGTGGACCTATTCCCAATTGATAGTGACACACATCAGACTGTCAACAGTTCCCTGTGGAAATGGGGGTGGGGCATTGTAAGAGGAGCTAACTCTGATGTATGGGAAAAGAGTTTCCTCTTGGGAATTTTATGGGCTACCTATGTGCTATCCACTGGATATAAAACCATAGATTTTATAAATGGTTTTAGCATGAAAATAGACTATGATAAAGTAAGCAAAAATGTAGCTTGCTTCTGCAAACTAAGATTTGGGTAACTGGGCTGATGTTTTATTTATTTTTTTTTTTGGGACAGAGTCTTGCTCTGTTGCCCAGGCTGGCTTGAACACAGCTCTCTGCAGCTTTGACTTCCCAGGCTCATGTGATCTTCCTGGCTCAAGCAATCCAGTCTTCTGAGTAGCTGGAATCACAGGTGTATGCCACCATGCCCACCTGATTTTTTTTTTTTTGAGATTGGGGTATTACTCTGTCAGCCAAGCTGGAGTGCAGTGGCGTTTTCATAGCCCACTGCAGCGTTGACCTCCCTTGCTCAAGCGATCCTCCTGCCTCAGTCTCCTGAGTAGCTGGAACTACAGGCAAACACCACCATGCCCAGCGAATTTTTGTATGTTTTGTAGAGACAGAGTCTCACTATGTTGCCAGGGCTGGTCTTAGACTCCTGGGCTCAGGAGATCTTCACATTTCCACCTTCCAAAGTTCTGGGATTCAAAGTATGAGCCACCATGCCCAGCCAATTTTTTAATTCATTTTGTAGAAATGGGGTCTCCCTATGTTGCCCAGGCTGGTCTCCCACTCCTGGGCTCAAGCAGTCGTCCTGCCTTGGCCTCTCAAAGTGCTGGAATTACAGATGTGGTTTATTTTTTATTTTGTATATGTGTAGTATACATGCATTTAAACATTTTTTTAATAAAATCCACAAAATTTACCATCTTAACCATTTTATTTATTTTTACTTACTTATTTTTTATTTTGTTTTTTGAGACAAAGTCTTGCTCTGTCACCCAGGCTGTAGTGCAGTGGCGTAGTCTTGGCTCACTGCAAACTCCACCTCCCGGGGTTCAACTGCTTCTCCTACCTCAGCTTCCGAAGTAGCTGGGATAGGCACATACTACACGCCCAGCTAATTTTTGAATTTTTAGTAGAGATGGGGTTTCACTGTGTTGGCCAGGCTGGTCTCGAACTCCTGACCTCAGGCGACCCACCCACCTCAGCCTGCCAAAGTGCTGAGATTACAGGCATGAGCCACCAGGCCTGGCCTATTTTTTTATTTTTGAGACAGAGTCTCGCGCTGTCGCCCAAGCTGGAGTGCAGTGGTGCAATCTTGGCTCACTGCAACTTCCGCCTCCTGGGTTCAAGCGATTCTTGTGCCTCAGTCTCCTGAGTAGCTGGGATTACAGGCATAATCATGCCCGACTAATTTTTGTATTTTTAGTAAAGATGGGGTTTCACCATGTGGGCCAGGCTGGTCTTGAGCTCCTGACCGCAAATGATCCGCCTGCCTTGGCCTCCCAAAGTGCTGGGATTACAGGCATGAGACATCATGCTTGGCTATCTTAACTATTTTTAAAAATGTACAGTTCAGTACCATATGAATTGAGTACATTCAGACTGTTGTGCAGCCATCATCACCATCGATCTCTAGAACTCTTTCCATCTTGCAAAACTGAAACTCTATACCCATTAAACAATAACTCCCCATTCCCTCCTCCCAGCCCTGGTAACCAGTGTTCTAATTTCTGTCTCTATGATTCTGACTACCCTGGATACCTCATTTATATTGGTAGACTTATACAGTATTTGTCTTTTGTGACTGTCTTATTAGGATTTAGCATAATGTCCTAAAGGTTATCCACGTTGTAGCATGCGTCAGAATTGCCTTTTTTAGGCTGAATAATATTTCAATGTGTATATACCATTTTGTTTATCCATCATCTGTCATCGGACACTTGGGTTGCTTGTATGTTTAAGCTATAGTGAATAATGCTGTTGTGAACGTGGGTTTATACCTATACAGTTTTTATGTGTTTTTTATTCAGAAAAAAATTTTTTAAGCTGTGAAAGCCAGCTGTGCACGGTGGTTCATGCCTGTAATCACAGCACCTTGGGAGACTGAGGCAAGAGAATCACTTAAGTCCAGAAGTTCAAGACCAGCCTGGGCAACATAGTGAGACCCCATAACTACAAAAAAAAAAAAATACAAAAATCAGACAGACGTGGTGCATGCACCTGTGATCCCAGCTACTTGGGAGACTGATGTAGGAGGATCTCTTGAGCCCAGGAGGTTGAGACTGCAGTGGGCTGTGATTGTGCCAATGCACTCCAGTGTGAGGGGCAGAGTGAGACCCTGTATCTCAAAATAAATAAATAAATAAATAAATAAATAAAAGCTGTGGAAGCCAAATCATCTATTTTGTATTTATGCTTTTTCCCTGACTTTCATTTTGTAGCCAGTCTTTCAGCTGCTTTAGCCAACTGTTACATTTCCCCACCAGAAGGAAAAATTACAGCGGAAAGCTGGTCTCCCTGTTTAAAACCTAACAACAGTGTAGTGGCTTGGTTAACTGTGTTTTGTGGTTAACTGAATTCAAGAGCTCTACCTACTTCCTACTTCCATCCCTCCCTCCCTCATAGCTAAAAAGTTTAGGTTCTCACCACCTGTATAATTCCCTAAAAAATGCTGGTCTTTGTCTCTGAAACCACTCCCTGGAGAGTCACTGCGTGCCCATAGTCTGGGCATTCCTTCATTATACCGACTATGTTGTAACGGAATTATCAGTCTGTTTCCCTCGTGGACTATACAGGAGACCAAAAGAGCAACTAATTCAGTTCACTAAATATCAAGTGCTCCCATGTGGCAGCCACCACTGGGTACCAAGACACTCTTCATGGAACCTCTCTTCTTTAAGGTGGGAAGGCATGGTATTTAGATTTACTGACTTGGTGGGCATCATAGTATTTGAGTCAAAGAGACCCTAGAGCTGATGTAGTTCAGTTACTTGATCTGTAAGCACGGTCCCGAGAGCAGCTGTTGAACTGCAAGGGCTTTTTCTGCCTTCATCCTGGTTGATCACTGCGCTGTAACAAACTCTGGTTTTCTTAAGTTGGCTCTCAGGCCCTGATCTTCCTCTACTCCAAAGCCACCAGCCCTCTGCAGATATCTTCCTTGCAGTCACACCATGTTATCTACCATGGCCCAGCTGTCTCCTTCCCTTGCCTTCTACCTGGAATGTCTTCCTCCCTACACTCTGCCTCTGGACACTTAATCCTTCAGTTTCCGCTTGAGATGCCGCTTTCCCAGCATTCCAGCCCAACATAAGCCCTCCTTGAGCGACCGTAATGTGTGTTACACATAGCTTTGGGCTTTGAACTGTACTTGTATGTCTGTTGAAACCTGCCACTCCTATCAGTCCAGCTAGCCGTATTGCTCTGTCATGTGAGCACAAAGAAAGGAATGGGAGATATACACTCATTAGTTAATAATGGTTACCTTAGGCAAGGCAGGGGAGAGAAGAATTAAAGATGAAACTCATCCACTGACCTCCCAGCAAGTATGTGCAATAAGAGCTCACCATTCAAAGCTAGGAGACGTGGCAGGCCACATCTGGGTCACTGGGAAGCGGATTGAGAAGTGCATCTAGGCTGTTCCAGCTGGTACAGGTCACGTTGGCAACTCAGCTGAGGATTTAGAGACTGCTTCCAGAAGCATGGGATAGCCTTTACAGTGAATCAAACAGAGCTCCTACTTAGGGACAAAGAGCACAGCCACTCCTCGGACCTCCTTGCGTCTCTGTCTTTATTTGACTGCAGCTGCCTGTTCACTAGTTCTCATCCTGCCTGCGCACCCAGCTCTCCCGTCTTCCCCTGTAGGTCTTGCAGTCTCTTGCTGTTCTCCTCATGGTGTGTCAGTTTTTTCTTTTCCTGTCCCTGGTATGTCTTCCCACCCTGCTGCATCCCCTCCTCCCTTTTACAGAGCCACTGTGTGTATTTCACACTTGCTCTGTTTATTGGCAATGGCTTTGTGTGTTATTAAT